TAAATTTATATTTTCAGACACAGAGAGAAGCAGATATAAATATATACTTAAAGGGCACCGAAGATCTATTAATAGAAATTGCCAGGAGTGCTACTGAGTAAATAATCGAATGCCAACTTCAATAGTCATCTTTTCCCTCAGGGGAGACAAATCAAATGAGGGGTTGGGGTGGGGCTGCTTCAGAGGACTGTGTGGACATGTCCCCGAAGAGACTGAGCAGTAGGACTCCAGTGCTCTTGGACAAGCTTAGTGTTTTCAGAACTGCTGTGTGATTAGCGGTAGACACAGAGCCCATGTGGTCACAATAGGGAGTTAATTACCTGTAGAAAACCACTTCATGCTGCTGACCTGAATTCCTAGGGGGGGCTACTTGCAGGACACTTCCCACACCATAAGCCCTCCAGACTGCACCCTGCAACTGCTCTCTTTCACCTCTGCAAAGATGCCAGTGGGGAGAAGTTAGGACTCTTAAAGAAAGCTCTTGAATATGTCACAATTTGTCTTTGCAAGTGGGCTTTATGCCCAAACAAAATAAAACCCAGCATTCTGCAAACCTGGTCCCTGCTTGAGTACTTTCTCTTTCTGATATTTATGCCAGAATAGCAGGCACTTTCATCACAAGAACACTTTCCAAAACCCACAAAGTATTTGTGTATTCTTGATTTTAATGACCTCAAGAGTTTTGTTTAATTTTGAATACAAATTGACAGAACTTTCAATAATGAGACGGTTGAAAGGCTAGTTTCTAGTCCCTGGTTGATGCCTGCAATGAATATAAATATCAGACTAATGCTATTTAAGTGTTTTGACTGACCCCTGAAAACACTTCTAACCAAGCATTATTCTGGAAGCTGAGGGTCTATATTATGCAGCACAGGTGATTGTGTTTTTGGAAAGAAACCAAACCAAAAGCGACAAAACCCCCACACTCACAATTTTTAAAAGATGGGAGCGCAATCATGATATAAAAGATGACCAATATCGACCAAAGTTACTGGTTACAAACATGACAATGACAACGCTTCCTGATCCCCAACAACTAGGGGCCACCTCCAAGGAGAGTGATGGGGAGGAGGTCTGGAACTGGGACACACTGGACAGGGGAAAACAAAGGCATCACTTCTCTCTACCATACAGACTGCAGCAACCAACAGCCACTGCAGGACTGAAAAACACACCCTTAAACCTGCTATCATCACGTTGGTTCCAACTCACAGTGACCCTATCTATATATATGTAGGGCAGAGTGGAACTGCTCCTTAGGGTTGCCAGGATTGTAAATCTTTGCAGGAACTGACAGCCTCATCTTTCTCCCATGGAGCAGCTGCTGGGTTTGAATTCACAGACCTTGAGTTAATAATAGCCTGCCTTTTAACCCACTGTGCCATGAGGGCTCCTCAACACAGTCTTTGTTGTACCACGGAGCTGTACCAGGGAGCTGGTTCCAACTCAGTGACCTGTACAGGTTGTTTCTGGGGAGTTGCTGGTGGGTTTGAACAGCCAACTTTGTGGTTAGCAGTCCAGTGCTTACCGTACAGCACTACATCAGGATCCCTACATACTCCTAACATTGAGTAAATATGATAATGTCTGAATACCTTTTCAATATTTAAGAGAATGGAAAAGAGAATTGTTTGATCCTAAATTGGTAACACTGATTGATACTGTTAGTGCCACTGAGCTGGTTTGACTCATAGCGACCCTATGGATAAAGCACTGGATTACAAGATCGGCAGTTCAAACTCACCAGTCGCTCCTCAGAAACCCTATACTAGGTGGCTATGAGTCAGAATCGACTCAACGGCACTTAACAACAATAGGGTTTCCAAGGAGTAACTGGTGCGTTTGAAACTCTGACCTGTGGTTAGTGTTTCTCGTGCAGTGCTACACCAGGACCCCTAACACACTCTTCTTGTTGTTGTTAAGTGTCGTCAAGTTGGTTCCGACTCATAGTGACCCTGTATATGGTTTCCGAGGAGCAGCTGGTCAGTTTGAACTGCTGACCTTGTGGTTCAAACCGGCCTTGTAGTCTAGTGTTTATCCTACAGTGCCACACCAGGACTCCAGTTCAACTCATGGTGATGGTGGCGGTTGTGCACTGTCGAGTAGACTCTGACGCAGAGCGTCCCTGTACAGGGTTTCTGAGACTGTAAATCTTTACAGGAGCAGAAAGCCTTGTCTTGCTCCTGTGCAGCAGCTGGTAGTTTCAAACTGCTGACCTTGCAGTTAGCAGTCCGATCCATAACCCACTACACTACCACTACGCTACCAGTGACCCTATGTAGGGTTTCCAAGGAGCAGCTGGTGGGTTTGAACAGCTGACCTGTAGCTAGCAATCCCGTGCTTATCCTACATGCCATTTAATTAAGGGAAGAGTCCTGGGCACTTTGGGTTTATTGGGCAACATGTCTTAAGAAAGAAGCGATGACCATGGGTAGTCTGGGTAATGCCGTTTAGGAAGGCGGGAGAGCAGCCCTACCGCAAGGCCAGTCCCCTTTGGAGCAGGTGCTAGCTGCTGTAGCAAGGGTTAAAGGAGCATACTTTCCATCTCTCAAAACTCATCAGGAAACATGTCATTAAAATAAAAACCAGAAACAAAAGCCCTCTTTCCTACAGCACGCTTATTCTGGCCATCTCCTGCCCGGCTGCCTCCAGGAAAGTGACTCAAGAACCAGCTGGAGCAGAATGCAAATAAACCGGTGGGGGAGGAAGCTCAGCTCAGAGAGAGAGGAGGACAAAAAGGAAAAACAAAATACGGAGGAAAGGGGAAAAGGAGAACAGAGATGCAAGAGTGCAGGCAGTCCCCAGGTTAAGAAAGGGATTTGTTCCTGAGTCTTGAAGTCTTTAACTGGAATGTGTGCATGCATTCAATTCTTATTTTAGCCTCACTTTAGTGCAAGAAAAGGCTTGAAGCCCTTTCAAGGACTTAAAAAGTACAAGTGCAGGGAGTGAAGGCGATTGTGATCATCTGTTGTTGAGTAGGGCTGGTTCAATCATTTCAAAAGGAGGGCAAATTGATAAAACATTAAAGGGCAAGTGGGATTGCCTGCCAGTCAGATGCTCCTAACCTGTAATCAGGTTTTCAACAAGTAAGAGCCAGTCCAGGTACATCACTATGTTTTCATTTCAATAAGACATTTGTAACTCCAGTAGGGACAGATACGGTCCTTTGTTGTTGTTGTTGTTGTAAGTGCTAAGTCAGTTCCAACCCACAGCAACCCTGTATTGTATTGGGTTTCCGAGGAGGAGTGGCTGGTAGGTTTGAACTGATGATTGTGAGGTTTAAACTGACCTTGCGGTCTAGCATCAGGACTGCAGTGCCACACCAGGACTACAAATAAGGCCCTTGTTGTTGTTGTTAAATGTTGTTGAGTCTATTCCGACTCATAGTGACCCTGTATAAAATTTCCAAGAAGCAGATGGGTGGGTTTCAACTGCTGACTTTGTGGTTCGCAGTCCAGTGCTAATCTTACAGCACCACACAAGGAGTCCAAAATAAGGTCCTGGTGGAGGTGGTGATGGTGGTGGTTATATGCCATGGAGTCGGTTCTGACTCATAGCTAGCCTGCATAGGGTTTCTAAGGCCGTAAATCTTTACAGGACCAGAAAGCTTCCTTTCTCTGGTGGAAAAGCTGGTAGTTTTGAACTGCTGAACTTGAGGTTAGCAGCCAGACTCATAACCACTAAGCTACCAGAGCTTCTTGAACTAAGGTCGTAGTTACTTAGAATTCTCTTTCAGTTGAAGTTTTCTTGTAACAGCAAAGTAGAATGTACACTGAAGAAAGATGATAAAAATGTAAGAAAAGGAGCCACAGCAATGACAACTTTTAATGTCTGTTTTCACAGCGAGGCCACTAAAGTCACATATCCCCAAAAGCAGGCTCCTCTCTAGGGTCCAGTGACCTCAGGCATCACTGGCAAGGACTAATTGCTGGACAGATTGACGGACTGTTGTGCAAAAAGCCTAGCACTAAAGACATTAGTTCGTGTTGCTATTTCTTGTTACAACTCATCTCATGTGTGAGGAAGTGTATGATAACCATCACCTTGGTTCAAGTCCTGCATTTCCTTTCATGGATGCAAGACTAATGAACCAGACATGCTCCCAGATGCACTAAGGTATAAATATTGACATTAACATTTATAGTACTTTATAAGCATGGAGGATCTGGCAAACCATATGAATAATCCATTTGAATAACTATTTAGACTAGTGAAACTAACAGCTTTGTAAGATTAAAAAAAAAAAAAAAAGACTTCACCCCTGACATGCTATGTCAATTAGAATCATCTCAGTTTCTGAATCTTGTAATGTGAGTTTGCTCTTTGCCTCTGATGCTTTTAAAGGACAAAGGAAAACAAAATAAAGCACAATCCTTTCTAAAAGAGATGATTGTGGTTCAGATACTTTAATGTCATCCCTTGTCACTCACATCAGATAACTTGGAATGATTTCAAGGCTGGCCACAGACGAGAAATGCACTCTATTTAATCAGACTCTATATGTATCTGGTCCACAGTGAATTGAAATGAACTAAAACACTGCCTTGGAATGTTGAGTGGCTACAAGAGGACTTCTTTCTCTTCACATGCCAACAGCAGGCCCCCTCTCCCTGTCTGAAAGGTTATTTCATGGCCTACATCATTTTCCATCAAGGTCAATCAGTGACTTGTAGCAATACTGATCCTGTGGAATAGTACACTACTGAGAAAGTCCCATATTATGTCAAATTATAAACAGTTGCTTTATTGTGGAATGAGCTGCCACTACTTCACCTGAACCTTGAAATATCAATGATGAATTACAATTATTTTATTAAATACAAAGAAAAACATCTGGTCTAAAAGTATCACTAAGCTTTTTTTTTTTTTTAACCAATTAGGTTTAAATGGGCTTCCTTTGCATCACATTGTGACTACATATTTAGTCTTTCATTTAATAAATAATATTGAAGCTGAAAGATTTTTTTTTCCTTTGTAGTTATGCATCATCAGTTTACCTGTGCAAAATCAGCAGCAAGTCGCATTTTTCCATTTTGACCAAGAGGTCTTATGAGACTGGCATTGCGGACAAGAAGTTCAATTGCTCTATGGGCAATAGCTTCAGTATTGTCAAAGACAAAATCCGAGCATTCAAAGTGTTTAAAGTAGTCACTCATAACTCTGGCAATGAAACCTTGTAGCTCCTTCATATACAAAGAACAAGGTACATCCATTGTTTCTGAGCTGGACCTGCAAAAGGAAAAAGCAAAAGAAACAAACAAAAAAGGCCAGTGATTTTCAGGACCAATGCACTAAGCGACGCTATTGAATTTTTTCTTTCCTCTTCTACTTTCTGTATTTCAATTATGCATACTTTTCCCCCTTAATGATATAAAAAGCATAATTTGTTTTTGCTAAGAGTTAAGGAACATAAAATGATGTTCAATTTTATTCTAAAGAGTGTTTTTACATGCTGGGAGGATCACTGAAAAACATTTAGAAACCATTTGTCAAAAGATTAAGGATGGAATAGATAGCCATATATATCCCTTGGATAATCCAAGTGCCGTACCCACTGTATGATACCCCCAAGGTCTCTCTCAGTCTTACAACATTTAATCGACTGGTAAATGTTTTGCCCATTAAGTGAATTAATACATCAATACTAAATCCTGAGATCACATTTACGCTGCCTGCACCAAACAACGTCTTGGCAAAGGGAACTCGATGGTTGTGCTATTTAATCTCCTCAGTCCAATACCAGAATCCTGACTATGGAGTTGGTTACATAACAAAACACGTGGTATACAATTTTTTCCTCCAGATGATGAGGTTTGGATCAACAGATGATGCTAGCTGATGCTCCATGAAATACTATTTATAATTTATAAATGTTAATAATTGTTCTCTAAAGAATATATAAAAGAATGTGAAATATTTATAGGAAAGAGTTATACCAAAATTAGAAATCACCTCATAGTAATTAGCTAATCAGATGATATCACTGGCTCCATAATGCTGAATCTTTAAATAATGAAGTGTTTCCATATACTGAGAACGACATAGAGAACCAGGGATGGTACAGGGAAGAGCAACAGCTCTGAGTAAAATGTCTGCAGCAAGAGAAGGAGTTGAACCTAGTTGTTCTCAGCACAGCAGTCGTTACTTTAAGTAGGGTACTGCTTTGGATAGCATTGTATCCCCGCAAATCTGTGTTCTAAATTCTAACCTCTATACCTGTGATTAGGAGCCCTGGTAGTGCTGTAGGGTAAGCACTGTACTAACTGCAGCACTGGCAATTCAAACCTACCAGCTGCTCTGCAGGAGAAAGATGAGGCTTTCTGCTCCTAGGAGACCCTATGTTGTTGCTGTTGTTGTTGTTTATTGTTATCGAATCTGTTCCGACTCAAAGCAACTCTGTATAGGGTTTCTGAGGAGCGGCTGGCAAGTTCGAACCACTGATCTTGCAGTTCAAACTGACTTTGCAGTCCAGTGCATTAACCCACAGCGCCATACCATCGAGTCGGTTCTGACCCATAGCAACCCTGTATAGGGTTTCCAAGGAGTGGCTGGTAAGCTGGTAAGCAGAACTTGTGGTTCAAACCGACTTTGCAGTCCAGTGCATTCTGAATTGGCACAATGGCAATGGGTTTAGCTTTCTGACCTGTGGTTAAAATCCCTTTTGGTAATGGGTGACTTCTGTTATGCTAATGAGACAGGACCCAAGGTGGTGGTGGGTGTGTCTTCAGTCAGTCTCATTTGACATGTTGTTGTTAAGTTCAGTCTAGTTAGTTCTGACTCAAAGTGTCCTTGTATAGGGTTTCCAAGGAGCAAAAAGTGGGTTTGAACTGGCAATCTTCTGGTTAGCAGTCCAGTACTTATTTTACAGTGCCACACCAGATATAAGAAATTAAAACACCAACAGAAGCAGAGATGGGGGAAGAGTTATCTCAAATCACATGAAAATTGTTCTGGAGCAGAAACGCAAGCAGACAAGGAGCTGCCTCTAGACTCACACAGAGAGAAAGCCTTCCCCTAAAGCCTGAACCCTGAATTTGGACTTCTGGACTCCCAAACTGTGAGAAAATAACTATCTTTTAGTTACAACCACCTACTTGTGGTATTTCTGTTATGGAAGCACTAGAGAGCTCACCCAGATGCTAACCAGAGGTCCTCCATTTCCCGAAACAGACTGAAATAGAGAAATGAGGTTTACATTCCAGCAGGAAGGGATTTGTTTAGGAGTAAGAAAGTGCACCCTAACAATGGCAACGTCTCTGACAGGTGCACAGGGGAACATCTCTGTTTCCCTTACCCCAGGATAGAGTGCTGCCTGCAGTCTTCAAGTGCTTTGGTTTCTCCAGATCAGACAGACCATGGCAGGGCCTAGCTTTATTTGGGGTTTGTCAGCCTAAAGGCTAGGTTGTGGGTGTGGTGGGTGGAGCATGATGCCAATCTCTTTCACTTCTTATGCTGTATTAAAAGCAAAGTTGTTATCTTGGCAATATTGGGGATGATCGTCAATAGTTTTAATCTGGTCAGATGAAAACGTTCTTGAAGACTAGAAAATAACACACTAAAATAATTTCCATAATCATGTGTCAATGTAAGTAAAATTTATGAATTTTTTCTTTTTAAGTTTGTCTGGGAGACAACATGTTGAAATATATCTTATCAACTCTTTGTGAGGACTGTACGTTTTATTTAAATTTACGAGAATATAAAACGTGCTCAGTTTCACCAATTATGTCAAAAGATAAAGTGCAGCAGTAATTGTGCAGAAATTTCTCGGTAACGATAGCCTGCATACAGAGGTAGAAGGAAGAAGAGCTAAGCCACCGCACAACTGAAAAGTGGGAGCGCTCGTCTTCAAGTCATTAATCTGTGTGCGTGTGTCCTCTTTTCTCCTCAAAGGTTGTCATCCTTCACTTTAGGGATTTAGGGTCCTCAGACTTTTAAAGCTCCCACCCCACTCAAAACTGTAATAAAATGACGTGAGTCATTTTATATTCAGTGAATGGGTTTTAATCCATGTACTATGTCAATCAGACATTTACATTTTAAGTTTTCTCTAATTTGGAAAGAAACACAATGTTCCCATTACATACATTTCAAATACCAGGAAATTGTGCTGCTCTCTCATTTTAGAGAGCAGGAGATTCTATAGCCATACAACGTTACAGATTGGCCCGGGAGGTTTGCTCCTTTACAAGATGTGGTATGGAACCTCCAGGTGTTACTAACTAAAAGGTTGCCAGGTCACGTCCAGCCACAGGCAGCTCAGAAGAAAGGCGTGCTGATCTACTTCCAAAAGTCACTCATTGAAAACCCCATGGAGCACAGACACACATGCTGCCTCTCTGAGCCAGAACTGATGGAAACTGTTTTAAATTTTGTTTTGTTTTTATATGGAGGGCCTTGAGGGGCAGGTGTTTGTTATGATTTTTTGCAAGCATGGCCTCTGGGGGCTGGGCCTCTTATAAGGAGAAGAAGAGTCCCCACAAGTCAAATTATTCGACTTGACTTCTGGTCTGACACCAGCTGCAAATGCAGTACTTCCTTCCTCTGATCCTAACTACAAGAGTTAGGTCAGATCTCACAGGTTAAAAGTCTGTACAAGACCTCAGATACCAGCCACACCCTTGGGAATCCCCAAACTCCTCTATCTTTGGGCCTGCTGGTTACAAATTTGTGGGTTCAAGCATAGCAGTGGCTGTGAGGTTGGCACAGGACAGGGCAGGGTGCATATGGGTGCTAAGAGTTGGTACTGACTCGATGGCACCTCACAACAACTAACACCCTCTCAGAATGCCAGCTATGTGAGAATCTAAAATCGGAGGCATTTGGTCTGTGTAAGCAGAACCCTGGTGGCACAGTGGTTAAAATGTTCAGGTTTGAAGCCATATTTGGGAGAAAGATGTGACAGTCTACGTCCATAGACTTCCAGCCCTGGGAACCCCATGGAGCAGTTCCACTCTGCTCTGTAGGGTCAGAAGAAGGCAGTGGGTGCTGGTGTGTGCAAACAGAGCAGTCTGAATGCAGAGCCTTACCTCCATCTAAGAGTCTAGACATCCACGTTGAAGTGTAAAGTTACTTTTCTAATGGCAGTTTCTCTAACCTTTGTGCCGACCTATGGTGCTGTAAAATAAGCACTGGACGGTAAGTTCAGTTTGAACCACAAGGTTGGTGGTTTAAACCCACCAGCTGCTCCTTGGAAACCCTATACAGGATCGCTATGAGTGAGAACTGACTTGATGGCACTTAACAACAAGTAGTAGCTGCTTAGCAATTGAGAAAGTATCTGACCATTCAACGTAAGATAAGTCTTCAGAATTATCTCTTTTTTTGCCCCTTTCTCAGAGGCATTCACAATTGGTATAACTGGAAAATTTCTTATAATAAGAATGGTCATATACTTTCACTTTTGAATAAAATTGAGTTTTCTCCTAAACACTGGTAACCAGCAGTTCTACGTTCCTATTGTCTTCTGAGTTAAATACTATTGCATTTTTTTAAAAGTCACTTTACCCTTCTGTGCTTCATACCATTATTAAAAATGTTAAGTGACTTCGAGTCAGTTCTAATGGCTGCTGAGTTTGAACCCCCGAACTTGTGGTTCAAACCAACCTTGCAGTTGAGTGCTTATCCTACAGCACAACACCAAGACAGAGACTGGTTATTTGACACTACGTAAATTACACGATTATAGGATAAACTAAAGGAGAGTGAAATAATTACATGATCAATTTTCCTACAAACAGCTAAACTAGTGGCTGAAAATTTAATAAAGTGGATATTCTTTTAAACAATATGAATATAAAAGAAACAATTTCAAAAATAGCAGCTAAGAAAATGTACACAGTTAAGTTTAAAAAACCACTCTAAGCATTTGTAAATACTATTGCAAATTCTCCATAGACACTTTTCCAATACACTGAGCCAAAACCGTTTCACTCTATTTTTAAAGTTTCAATAAACACCATGGGCTACAAACTACGATTCCTAGTCTCGAGATAAAGTGCCCATGTGAAACAGCTACAGAATAATACCAAATGTGTCGATGGCTCAGGTGCCATCACCAGATTGAACTGCCATGGAAACTCTGAGAAAGGAAACTCAGTCCTGGGGGCAGTGGGTCTGGAGCCTTCCCTAAAAGTCGGAGCTGGACTTGGAGAAGTAGAGTGGCAGAGGCAGGATGATTCCTACAGGGACAGTCAAGCCTGTGCCAGGGGGAGAGCAGGATGTTTGTGAGCAGCAAGGAAAAAGACTGGAAAAGGAAGACAGTACAAGCTTCCAGAAGTCCTGAAACACCAAGCTGTGTCCTGCAGACTTGAATGATGTTATGTTTCAATGAGAAGAGAGGAATGATGAAAACAAGAACTGAACATTTTAATCTGCTAATGGCACTCACAATAGATAAAGCGGGAGAGGTTGGAGGCCAGCCATACCACAAGAGGAACAGGCCCTAGATGACAGGAGGCTTGGGGAGGCAGGATGAAGGTGGGGACGAAAGACAAAGGCAATAAAGGTTAGTGGAATTTTTTTATGACGAGTTGTTACCCAGAAAAATCTTCTTGATGCATGGTGATGATTATGGCTTCTATGGCATCTCCCACTGAAGTCAGTAAGGGCTGCACAGCATTTCCCATAAGAGCGTGGATTGTCTGCAAAGAAGAAAGAAGGGGAGGCAAATGAAGAAAAGCCAACTCAAAGGGATCTGAGGTCAGAGAAGCATTTTGACAAGTTTTCACTTTATATCAAATTCAGGGTTACATACTTGAACAGCTTTACAGAAAGCCTCTCCAGTCCCTAACTGCTTTGGAATACGGCACTGGAAATGTTCAACTCCCCCACTTCTCCTCCTAACTTCCCAATAGGTGTAGTGGTCAACTGAGCCCCTTGGGGAAGGGAAGAGAGATGGTGAGAAACAGGGAGGAGAGGCACTCTGGAAGTAAAGATCAAAGGAACATGTGTTGTGTTTTGTTTTTTCCTTTAAGTTTCCCTAAAGAATGAGGCAAGAATAAAAGTATTCTTTAGAACCTAGAAGAACATTGTATGCTTTTTACCAAAATGAATACAATAAATATACTGGAAATTCTTGTAGGGCAGAGCAGTTGGCATTTCATGAATTCAGTTGCTATTTAGAGTTCTACAGCAGTGAGTCTCAAGTGATTTTGTCTCCCAGAGGACACTGGCAATGTTTGGAGATATTTTTGGTTGTCAGGGGGATGGGATTTGGTACAGTATTTAGTAGTAGAGGCAAGAGATGCTGCTAAACAGCCTACAGTGAAGATGACAGCTCTACAACAAAGAATTATCTAAGGTAAAATGTAGTGATGAGGTTGAGAAATGTTGTGCTATCTATGTTGTTGTTGCTAAGTGTTGTTGAGTTGGTTCTGACCCATAGTGATCCTGCATAGTGTTTCAGAGAAGTAGCTGGTGAACTTGAACTGCTGACCTTGCAGATCAAACCAACTTAGAGGTCCAGCACATCAACCCACAGCGCCACACCAGGACTATATATGGTGGTGGTGGTGTGCCGTGGAGTTGGTTCCAACTCATAGTGACCCTGTACAGTGTTTCCAAGGCTGTAAATCTTTACAGGAGCAGAAAAACTCCTCTTTCTCCCATGGAACAGCTGTTAGTTTTAAACTGCTGACCCTGAGGTTAGCAGCACGACTTATAACCACTACACTACAAGAGCTCCTTAGGACTATATATGTTGTTGTTGTTGTCAGATGCCATTGAGTTGGAACCGAATCATACCTACCCCATGTACAGCAGAATGAAACAATGTCCGATCCTGGGCCAACCTCACTACCGCTGCCACACTTGCATCCATCAATGCTGCCACCTGGCCAATCCATCTCGTTAGGGGTCTTCCTTTTCTTCTCCAAACCTCCATCTTACCAAGCATGATATCCTTCTCCAGCAACTGTTCCCTCCTGACAATATGTCCAAAGTCTGAGAGACCAAGTTTGGCCATCTTGGCCTCTAAGGAGCACTCTGGCTGCACTTCTTCCAAAACAGATCTATTGATTCTTTTGGCAGCCCATGGCACTTTCAGTATTCTCCTCCAACACTACAATTCAAAGGAATCAATTCTTCTACGATCTTCCTTATTCACTGTCCAGCTTTCACATCCATATGAGGCTATTGAAAACACAATGGCCTGGGTCAGGCGCACCTTAGTCCTCAAGCTGACATCTCTGCTCTTCAACACTTTAAAATGTTCCTATGCAGCAGATTTGCCAAATGCAATACATCATCTGATCTCTTGACTGCTGTTTCTACCAGTGTTGATAGTTGATCCAAGAAGAATGAAGTCCTTGACAACTTCAATCTTTCGCCGTTGATACGAATGTTGTTTATTGGTCCAGGGGTGAGGATTTTTGTTTTCTTGACATTGAGATGTAATCCATACCGAAGGCTGTCCTCTTAGATCTTCATCAGTAAATGTTTTAAGTCCTTTCAGCAAGCAAGGTTATATCATCTGCATATCGCAGGTTGTTAATGAGTCTTCCTCCAATCCTGACGCCATGTTTTTCTTCATAGAACTCAGCTTCTCGTATTATTTGCTCTGCATACAGGTTGAATAAGTATGGTGAAAGAATACAACCTTGTTGCACACCTTTCTTAATTTTAAAACATTCTGTGTTCCCATGCTCTGTTCGAACAACTGCCTCTTGGTCCAGGTACAGATTCCTCATGATACCTTATAGGTAGGGCATCTAAAGTAATGTTTTCATGGGGTAACTAAAGTTAAGTGAAGAAGATTTCCCCAAGTCATAAACAAGCAAGAGGAAGAGCAGGGTTTTCTAGGTATCAGAGAAATAAGAAGAGACTGAAGAGTACTGTGGAAGTATACAGACAAGGACATTTCAAGAAGGAAGGGTAGATTTTCCACTTCAGTATGAAGGAGAGTATCTAACTACAGACCTCTGCACAAATAACTCTGAAAAAATAGGAAAGGAAATAAAACAACAGAGTCCACTGGAGGATCTCTGAAGAAGGAACAAGATGCAGGTGGTTTTAGAGGGCTGCAGAAAACTCGAGCAACCAAGCAGACCAGCAAGAGGTTCACACTTTTGTGGCTTTGCCCTCATGGTGCAATTTCAAGGGCGGGTGGCCAAAATTTCAATCAACAAACAAACAGGATTTCTGTCTTTCTGTGCACAGAAACAAGTTTGAGCACTGGGTCAATCAGGCTGCTGAAGAGTGAGCGAATCTCAGGAAGAAGAGAGCCAAAGAAGAAAGCCTAAATCTGTGTTTAAACTCAGCACTAGTCTTCAGCTTACTTGTCAACCACGCATGTACAGAGTAAACTAAAAGTAGTTTGCAATTCAGGCTTAAAGAACTGAACTGAGATGTGAGGTATGACCAATTGCATATATAACAACCTACATTTTGAGTCTAATCAAGTTAATTGTCTTTAGAACAAAAACATCAACATTATTAGGAGCAATGTAAAACTTACTGATTCCACACAACATAAGCTTCACAATGCCCAGGATATAAGTGAAAATTCATAAATATACAAAGAGCCAGGGCATGTCACCACTTACTAAAAGAAAAGACACCAACCCTGAAATGACCCATATCAATACCTGTATTAAATGTTAGTGAAATAAATGCTCCAACTGCAGATATTTTCAGAATGGATAAAAAGGCAAGAACCACCTATGTGATGGATACTAACTGTGACAAAGATAACACAAGAAAAAACTACATATTGATATACACCAGTATCACTTACTAATACATAAAACATTCTTAACAAAATCTATATAAATGAAATCTACAAATACATAAAAAGTATAATAAATAATAATCAAGGTTGGTTTGATATTTGAAAATAAAATATTTAATGTACTTCATTAACAGAATAAAGAATAAAATAATACAACTATTTTAATAGATACAGAAAAAGCTACTTGATGAAATTCAACACCATTTATGACTTTTTAAAAAAGTTTCAGCAAACTAGGAATAGAAGGGAACTTTTTCAATCTGATAAATGTCACCTATAAAAACGTATAGCTAGCATCATACTTAAAATAGTAAAATAGCCAACACTTTCCATCAGATCAGGAGCAAGTGAAGGAGGTCGACTTGCCAGTTATATTCAAGCCTATACTAGAGGTCCTAGTCATTGAAATACACATAGAAAAAGAGGGCATAACAATCAGAAAAGAAGAAGTAAAACTGCCTCCCTCTGTGGTATGATGGTTTACACAGAAATCATTATAGTTGTTCTAAAATATAGCTTTGGGGAAATATAGAATAGGAAGAGAAGAGAGTATCTTGGGGGATGCCTTCATTTAAAGTATAGGTTGAGGATTAGCAAGTACCAAAGAAAACTGAAATGTCAGTCTCCTCTGCAAGAGAAAGTGTAACTCCTTTTCAACATCAAAACCAGATGATCTGTTGTATGTTCTTTACAAAGTGTGTCGTACATTTTTAAAAGATTTTAACTAGAAATAGATAAGATAAATATATTGGAATATAAGATATTCCCCTTTGTAGAACCTAAACCCACACAATAAGGGAGAATTAAATCATTACCCTACATAAATTTAGCAATTCAATCAGTATCTGCACAAGACAATTTAAGCAAAAAGGATCAAACTTACTAGGTTAAGGACCGTCAACACCTTTTACAACCAACATGGTTAGAATGAAATGAATCCAAATCATTAGTTAGTACTAATAATATCATACATGACATATTATATAATGTTCATAATATGTGATGATGAACCTATTGCCTAAAAAAAATAACTAATTTTAGATAAAGTCTTCATACATTAGAGAAGAAAAGATGATCACATATCTATTTTTTTTTCCAGTAACTAAAAAAAAGTATGCTTAATATCTTATCAAATAATAAAAGCCAATCAATTTGGGGCTGCAGCCATTTCTGTATCATAACATGCTATCCCTAATTCAAAATGATTTCCTGCTCCTGACAATTGTACGAAACTCAAAGTTCTCTTTTAGTCCTTTAAGTCAGAGGATTTTGTTTTGTTTTTACTTAATAGATCACAATGTTTTTATAATATTTAATATAATATAAAAGTAAACACTGTTTCACTGAACTCTTTTAACCTAAGCAGTTAAGTCTCTAACTGGCAGGGCTACTGCAGGAGGCCTGGGACTTATTGCCAGTCTTACTCAGTTCTCAAGGGCAAAATCAATGATGCTTCAGTAAACTGCTGAGCAAACCTCAGAGTCAGGGCTGGCGCCCAAAATCAGGGCAATTTTCCCTGCTCTGGCTCCAACTCCTGAGTGACGAACAATAGGAATAACCTATTATTTCTTGTGTTAAAAATACAGACTCAGAGAGCCTACCTTAGACTCAATCATAGTCTCTGGGGAATTTCTATTTTTATCTATTCCAAGTGATTTCTATCATTAGGCAAATTGAAGATCCTACTTTCATCTACAAAATGAAGTTTTCCAAACTATGGGTCATGGATCAATAAATCATTTTAGTGGGTCATGATCAGAATTTTAAAAAAGGTAATAGATCAATATATAAAAGTATACAAGAAAACATTCAAGTGTGCCTTTACTATGCTCTAGGAAAAGAGACGGATTCCTTCCTTTAGCTATACTGAATCAAATCCATTCATGTACATATAAATTTAGTGTCCTTACATTTTGTGCTTTTCATTTATATAAAAATCCTTTTTTTTCCTTTTTATTGTGAGTTGAGTGAAGGTATACAGAGCAGATCATCAGTTTTACATTCAACAAATCACAGACTTAACTTCATCTCTATTGCAATCTCCTCAATGTAACATCACTTAACCCACTTGTTCTCTGTGTGTCCATTCCTCCTTTCCTAACCCTTCTGAATTTGATCCTTAGGTCAATGTTGCCTTCTTTATTTCAGTGCTTTCTGTACTGTGCATGCCTCACGAGTGTTGTTGTCTTCCCCATACGTCTCTTTACTACCTGGCTGAAAACTGACACACAGGTGAGTTCCGATCCAGACCTGAAGGGTAACCAAGGGCCTCAGGGTTCTGACCAGTAAGCCTGGTCTTTTCTATGGGCTTGAGTTCTGTTCCACATTTTCTCCCACTATACACAGGACTTTCTAATGTGAACCCTCTTGGTATTAATAGCTGGGCATCATCTAGTTTTTCTTGTCTCAGGGTTGTGGAGACTGATATTCATGTGGTCCATTAGTCTATTGGATGAATTGATTCCAAACATCTTCAATTTTCATCACACTTCTATCCTCTAAGTGTCCTTAAGTTTTAGAGAACTGTTAAATTCCATCCAAGTAATATATGGCCAGCCAGCTAGACATTAACTTCAGAAGTTTCCTTTTCTTTTAGAATTTATGACATTGTACTCTTCCCAATTTTCTTCCCCTCTGTTCTCTTTTCATATCCATTTTACTCTTTAAAGTTAAGTGGGTTTTTTTTCTTGGAGTTCTGTGGGCCCCATCATTTTAAACTCTCTCTCAGTGATATAAATCCAAACCAATAGTTGACATCAATTTGATTTTGTGTATATATATTGTACCATTTTACAGATGCAGAAATTAAGGCAAGAGTGCTTATTAACTCTCTGAGGTCATTTAGCTAATACAGCTTAGGCATATTTTCATTTCCAGTTTGGTTCCAGAGCCCATGCTCTTAATATTATACTGCCTCTAGTAAGAAACACTGACAAGAGATTCAGTAATTAATGGATGGTGGTGCAAGATATGGTAGACATAAGTCTTTTGAGTCAATGAGGTCTGGATTTAAATTTCAGTCCAGCTGCTGACTAGCATTATGGCTGTAAGTTATTATTTCTAAGTCTTATGAATTGAGGATATTAATACATAACTTGAAAGACTGCCATAGGATTTCAGTATATTGCATACGCCTGACAAACAGAAGGTGCTAAAGATGTGGTGCTGCAGGATAGTACACTAGACCATAAGGTCAGTCTGAACTGCAAGGTTGGCAGTCGAAACCCATCAGCCACCCCTCGGAAACCCTAGACAGTGTTGCTATGGATCAGAACTGACTCGACAGCACTTAAGAAAAAATTATTATTAAAAGAATACATGATTTACTTTGTTTTTTAAAAGATCTGTTGTTGTTAAGTGCTGTTAAATAGTTTCCAACTCATAGCTACCCTGAATAGGGTTTCTGAAGGGTGGCTGGTGGGTTCGAACCACCAATCTTATGGTTAGCAGTCCAGTGGTATCCTATAGCACCACACCAAAATTTAACTGAAAAGGTCAATATAGTGCTAAATTTACTTATTTCTTTCAAAACTTCACTTTTCACATGGGATTCCAGGCTGACTCTAGTTTTCAACAAATCTTTCAAATGACAACTGTCAAATGAATATGGCTCTAAAACCCATCCTTTTAATAATTTCCTAACATTAGGGAAAGGGTACACTTAGATCAGTGTATCAAAACAATAAGAACATACCCTGATCTTGCATCTTACAAACAGAGTCTAAAGCAGAGTCTTACTATGTTGGCACTACTGTTTGCAAGATGTTTACCAGTTGCCAGTAGTACCCCACTCCCAGTCACAACAATGAAAACTGTCTCCAGATATTGTCAAATGTTCCATAGGAGAAAAAAATCTATCCTAGTGGATGACCACTGCTTTAATGTAATAATTCTGGGAGGCACTGCCGTAATACACAGTGAATACTTGTAAAACTCTTGCTTCTGTGTATTCAATCATCATAGGGGGACTGTCCACAGCAATGGAGTCTCTCTTTAAAACCATATAGAAATATAAATACAAACGTATCTTTGATAATTATCAACATGCTACTTTTGGCAAAGCTAGAGGATCCCGAATCATTTTTAAAATGTGAGAGTTCCCATTAAGCCAAACAAATAAATAAAAATTCACTTTAATCTTAGAGTAAAAAACTAAATTATATTCTTTTACCTTTAGGGCTGACATTATAGTTTGCTCAGCTGCTGGTGGGAATGAGCTCTGACTGGAAACCACCTAGAACAGGGTTTTAATACAGATATAGTTTTGCTTAAGTAATTTATTTTCACAATGTTAATTTTGATCATAACATAATAAAGTTGCTCTCGGAAGTTACATATCAAGTATCAATCATTAACATACACATTTTAAAAACTGACTGGAACTTATCAATAAAGATAGATTCAAAAAATAACCGTTAAGTACAAAGCAAATATATACTCAAAATAATTGAAATATGAAGACTTAATTTTCTTTTATTCTTTTTTGACAGGTTTTAATTATAAAATTTAACTGTTGTAGTTGTTGTTATGTGCCATTGAGTCAGTGCTGACTCATAGTGACCCTGTATAGGGTTTCTGAGGAGTGGCTGGTGAGCTTGAACCGCTGCCCTTTCACTTCAAAGCAACCTTGTAGTCCAGCGCATTAACTCACAGTGCCATACCAGAACTCCAAAGTTTAAGTGAAATAAGTATAATGCTAAATTTACTTATTTCTCTCAAAACTTTACTTTTCACATAGGATTCCAGGCTGACTCTAGTTTTCAACAAATCTTTAAAATACAACTGTCAGACATTTCCCTTTTTACAAATAAATTCTGACATAAAAAATTTGAAAGTATCAATAAAGGCATTTAAATCAGGCTAAACAGAAGACAATCTTTCATTGCTTTAAAGTAATGTTTTAGAGGGATACTTTAGAGTACTAAATGAAACAGAAAATACAACATTCAATTTTTTAAATTATTTTATTTTTCTGAGATATACCTGCTAGGAAACCCTACACAGGGTCAGAATTGAGTCGACGGTGCTTAACGACAACAACAATTTGCTGATACCCTTTAAGATATATTTTGCTCAGTACTTAAAACATACATTTATGAAATTCAAAATTAAAATGAAAGAATTTGTTAACATTTTTGTTATTCTGTCACTAATTATAGCTCTGCTGTAATTTACTACCATCCACATAACATTCACCTGTTTCAGTAAGTATAAAACACATACGTTTTACCCTTGACTCATTTGTTCAGTGAATGTGAACATGCCAAAACGAGAACCCACAGTTCATGCATTTTAACCCAAATGTATAGACAAAAAGTCACACAAACAATAAATGTCAGCAGGAAAGATAAAGCTTATTTTATAATCATCATGTTTTCATTGCTGCATTCTTTAAAAAACAAAACAGTAATACTATGTCATAAGCTGTCTAAATTTGATGTAAGAACAAACAAGAACCTGAAATTAATCAATAGTTTCATTAAAACCCAGCAAGATAAAGGTTACCTTTGTTACTGCCTGCTGTAACTTGTACAGTGAATTCACTACTGCCACATTTCTTCTTTGCCCTTCCGTAAGAGGGCCAATCACCTGACTTGCATCTCCTTGTGTGGAAAGCTATAAAAATTCAACACAAAAAGAAATGACTAATTTCAACAAGATGGCTAAGTCCATTCAATAGGAGCACTGTACCATTATTTATAATATTCTAAAGGTGAAAACAATCCAAATGTCTGTTATCAATAGATAACAATCCAAAAGTATCAATAGATAAATGGATAAACACACTGTAGTATAAATATACAATGGAATACTATTTAGCCATAAAGAGAAATCAAGTTTTGATACATGATATAACATGGATGAACCTTGAAAACATTGTAAATGAAATAAATCAGTCACAAATGAAAAAGAATTGCATGACCTCACTATTATGAAGCATCTAAATAGGTAAATGCATAGAGACAAATATTTATTAATAGTTAGCAGGAAATGAGGGGAAAGAGAATGAGGAGTGAGGGGGTACTGAAATTCTGATTAGGGTGGTGAAAACGTTTTGTGAATAGACAATGATGACTAGTATCACAACACTGTGAATGTAATTAATGTCACTAAACTATATGCACTTTAAAATAATTAAAATAGCAAATGTTATGTCATAAACACTGTATCACAATAAAAACTTTATACAGAAATTACTAAAACAATGGTTCATACACACACACACACATTTCTTTAAATGGGGAAGATTGTGCTCCTCTGACAAAAAGAATATTAATTGGAAATATTTAGGTGTAGTTACAGTTTTGATCTTTAGGCAATGCCAGGAACCCACATAGACTTAACACCGTGGATGTGGAAGTCAAATTCGTCTTGCACAGGAAGACTATCGCTCTTGATACTTCATAGCTGAAGAAGCTGGTGAGGCCCCCTGCCCAGTGTGTGCTATAATTTTGATACATTATTACAGTATTCTGAGGGAACACTTCCTGGGAATTGCCAGTAGGCTTTTCTTTATTCAAAAACTCTGAATTAACAAGGAAAAAAGAAAGGAAAGGAGGGGAGAAGGTATGGAGAGGAAAAGGAGAAAGAAATCTAAACCCCAAGTTTATTTATTTGAGAGAAAGCATGGATGATCAGTAAAAGTAATATTAAAGACTTGATACTCCTGAACTTTTATTTACTTCTCATTGCATTAGTTTTAGGAAAGAGGACACAACAAGCTTCAATTAATCTATAAAAGTTACAGTTGGAATTTGAGGGGGAAAAAATCCATATGCCAACCATTCTCAAATTGATCAGATTTTTATCTAATTCTCTACAGTATTCAATATGTAAAGATAAATTAATTGTGTTCGAGATACATGATGCAAGTAACTCTAAATTTGGATCCAGATCTCAAAAGTAAGAAAGACATGCCTTTTAGAAGAGCAGAAAGCAACATTTTCCTTTATTATAGGAGGCAAATCAAATGAGAGAAGTACTATTCTTTCATTTCTTTTTTCCTTTTACAAAAACAAACATAAACAACTTAAAAAAACAAAACAAAACTTTTCAATGTGAATTGAGTGAAGGTTTACAGAACAAATCACCAGTCCCACATTTCAGCAAATTACACACTTTGTGATTGCAATCCACTCCATTACCATCAGTTAATAGTATTTACCTCTATTCACTTTATTTCCCCTTCTTCCCAACCCTCACCTGCCCTGTAACCATCATAGAAGAATTTTGATGCTTTTGAGTTGTGGTGTTGGAGAAGAATATTGAAAGTACCATGGGCTGCCAAAAGAACCAACAGATCTGTATTGGAAGAAGTGCCGCCAGAGTGCTCCTTGGAGGCCAGGATGGCCAAACTTCATCTCTTATACTTCGGACATATTGTCAGGAGGGACCAGTCATTGGAGATGAGTATCATGTTTGATAAGGTGGAGGGTCAGAGAAAAAGAGGAAAACTCCCAGCGAGGTGGATTGGCAAAGTGGCAGCATCAATGTGCTCAAGCATGGCAACAATTGTGAGGTTGGCCCAGGACCAGGAAGTGCATAGGGTCGCTATGGGTTGGTAATAACTCAATGGCACCTAACAACAACATATATATACATATATACCAAGTAGAGGAATTGCTGGGTTATACAGTCCTGGTGTGGCGCTGTGGGTTAATGCCCTGGATTGCAAAGTCGGTTTGAACCACAAGGTTGGTGGTTCAAGCTCATCAGCTGCTCCTTGGAAACCCTATATAGGTTCTCTATGGGTCAGAACCGACTCAAAGGCACACAACAACAACAGTATTTCTGTTTCCAATTTTTTAAGAAAGTGCCATACCATTTTCCACAGTGGTTGTACCATTTTACAGTTCCACCAGCACTATAGGAGGATTTCATTCTCTCTACACCCTCAGCAGCAGTTATTTGAACTTTGTCATTTGTGTTGGAGTAAGAAGATATCTCATTGTTTTTCTGATTTGCATCTCTCTAACAGCTAGTGATTGTGAGCATTTATTCATATGTTTGTTGACTGTCTGAATGTCTTCTTTGGTAAAGTGTTTGTTCATATCCTTTGCCCATTTTTTCATTGTGTTATCTGTTTTCCTGTTGAGGGACTGAAGTGTCCTATACATTTGGGAGTGTAGTCCTTTGTCTGCTATGTCATTGTTGCCAAACACTTTCTCCCAGTCTGTGGGTTCTCTTTTTACTCTTTTGGTGAAATCGTTTGATGCACATAAATGTCTAATTTTTAGGAGATTCCAGTCATCTATTTTGTTTTCTGTTTGTGTGTTTCCAGTTCTGTCTGATAGTGTATTTATGCCATATATCAGAGCTCCTAAGTTAGTCTCTATATTTTCCATTAATGATCTGTATAGTTCTAGGTTTACATTTAGGTATTTAATCCAATTTGAGGTCATTTTTTTCATATCATATGAGATATGGGTCTTGTTTCATTTTTCTGCAAATGGGTTTCCAATTTTGCCAGCACCATTTGCCCATTTGTTGAAGAAACTATCTATTCCTCATTTAATGCATTTTGGTCGTTGTTGTTGCTAAGTGCCATCGAATTGGTAATGACTCATAGTGACCTTATGCACAACAGAACAAAACACTGCCCGGCCCCAGGCCAACCTCACAGTTGTTGCCACACTTGAGCCCACTGATGCTGTCATTGTGCCAATCCATCTCACTGAGGGTCTTCCTCGTTTTCTCTGACCCTCCACCTTATCAAACATGATGTCTTTCTCCAGGGACTGGTCCCTCCTGACAATATGTCTGAAGT